TCTCTTGGATAATCACATTAAATATTCGCCTCTTCTCTCTCTCTATATATATATATATATATGTGTGTGTGTGTGTGTGTATAATCAATTCCATTTAATTAATTATAGGAGCTAAATTAACCTTGGTTTATAATTGATTATGTTTCAGCTAATAATAAGCTTGAAATACAAATATTTTTAATTCTTTTTTTAACCAATGATGATATTAAAGTTAATAATTATAATCAAACACAACTTTCAACTTATAACCTTACTAACAACCAAGATATATCAAGAAAACAAAAAAGAAAAATGAAAAAATAATTTAAAAGTATCAAAGAAGATTAACTACTATCTATAAAAAAAAAATTAATTTAAAATTTTATATTCAGTCGCTCGAATCAATATTTAAAAAAAAAGTATGGCATTTGTACCTCAAGTGACTATAGTTGTATGCATACGACACTTGCATCTTATGCTGAGTGCAATGCGGGTTTAATGAAATACAACGTTTCGATCTCTATAGCACGGATTTGGTCATACAATTCTTTTCTCGTAGCTCAATATTTTTTAAACAACAACAACAACATCAATAATAATAATAACTATTAAAACCTACAGCTCAAAATTAGGGACCCTCCATATATATTGTCAACGACAAAGATGGATGATTTTTTCATATAGAAAATGGAAGGTGCAATGCCCTCATCTGTACTAATTAGGAAATAACCAAAACCCTATTCCTCTCATTTATAGCTCCATCATTCATGCATACAACCATTTCTTTTAATTAACTTTTTCGTTTTCTCGTTTGATTGATGTGAAATCAATGTTTCACTGTTCAACCTAATTTCAATGCCATTAAACAAATTCATAACGTAGATGAGTGGTCCAAATTATTATCTTATAAATTATCTCAATTATTTTTTTATTAGATTGTCAACATTTTTTTACCTATTTATACGTTTTGGACTTTTATTATAAAATTGTGTTATTTATTAATATTTATATCATATATTAATAAAATATATAAAAATTAATTCAATCAAACATAACTTTACGTTATGTTAATAATTAATCATGACTTTAGATTCCGCACAAAAGTCTAAACAATTACTACTTGAAATAGAGTTCTAATAATTAATATATCTTTTTTTTTTTTTGATAATTCTACAACACGATTATATAACTATAAATAAAATAAAATAAAATTGAGACTCATTTAAATATATATATATATATATATATATATCAGTTGTAGGACTAAACAATTATTTTTGGGCATCAATAGATTGATTGATCCCACATATATATATATATATATGTATACCATAAAAAAGGAAACAAAAGGGTTTATACAGAAATTAAATTTGAGAGAAAGTAAACTAGACCTTGAAAATAAAGGTCATACCCTAATCAACAAGCACTAATGTCACATTATTGTCCTAATTAATTTCAAATTTTTTAGGACTTTGCGTCAACAAAGGACCAAAAACTGTTGAAAGTCAAGTATTTAGGTGAGTCAAAATTTAGAAAGATCAAAATCATGGACATTTTCTTCAACATGGTTAATTAGTTTAATTTTTAAAAGTAGAGAAGGACTAGAAAATGTGCCCTTGAGAATTCAGACCAAAGGTACATATGGCCACAATATATGGGTCACCTTCGAACCTTTCTATAAAATTAAAGCTTCAAATTTAATTTTTCTTGGCTGACCATGATTTTAGTTTTTGTAATTTATTTATTATATGAAGAATTTTTTTTTTTTTAAAAAAAAAAAGTGTTCTTGAAGGGAAATTAAAGGCTCAGATTGAAATTTGGGTAGGTAGAGGAGGCTTCATATGGGAAACTGATAAAGCTGTTGCTTTTTCGATTTGTGAAGGGGAAAAAATGGATGGCAAAGGGTCCAGAGAGAGGCCGGCTGTATGTTCCTACGGCGGTCACCTTCTCTTTGGACCATCACATATATTATATGTGTGTGTGTATATATATATATATTCTTTTGGATGATTTGATATCCATCACAAATATTTAACACCTTTCGTATGAAATTATTAAATTTGATTATTTTCAGAGTATATTGTTTTAAATATTGAATATGTAGTAAATTTAATTGCAAATTAAAAAAAAAAAGGATTAATGTCAAAAACAAGTTCTAAACTAATAAGGTGAAAAATACTAATACAGTCGCAACCTAACGCTCAATCAAAATAAAAATAAATTTATCATATTTAAAATTTAAGAACTAAAATCGATGAATTAGTAAAGAATTAAATTATATTGTTATTGAGAAGAGTCAGCGAAGACAAAGTCATTAAAGATTAAAGATTGAATACATAATCAAAGAGATAGGAGAGGGAACTTGGGTTACAAGGTTACTCCGATCAAGTTAGGCTTGAACATGCTTATCCGGGGACTTAAGGGTTACACTATTAGTGTTGGATTGTGTGCTTCATGTTTATAAATTTAGAGTTTAGAATTATGAAAATATTTATTTAATTTTTTTAAATGAATTTTAATAATTTTTATACAAATAGAAAATTTTGAGATCTCTTATTTTTTATTAATAATATGAAGTCTAATATGTTCATATTTGAATAGTATTACTAATAGCATTATGCTAATTCTTTGAAATAATAAGACTTCACTATGTGCGTATAATAGTAGGAACAAGTATTACCTTTACCTGTCCTAAGACCATTAATTGATTTTATTAGGCATGCTAAATACGTAGTCATAAACAATCATATATTATTCATGAACATCAATCATTTTTCCAACCTTATCACAATTTTTTAAACATTATTCGTTCTTCTTTTCTTCGTTTTCATTAATCTATTTGATCATCATCAGATTGCTCCATCACCAATATTGTATTACTAGGTTTCCATGATTCTCTACTAACATTCAATAATTATTTAATTTATTTTTAATTAGAATATGGTTAGTCTAAATAAAACCATTCATCAGCCGTACACTCACATGATATGTATATAATTTTCGAACAAATATTAACCTACTCTTTTGATTTAATTACCTGAAATTTCCACTATTTTGATATAAAAAAAAAAAAAAAACAGAGTAAAAGAAAGAAGAAAACAAAATAACGAAAAAGAAGAGAGAAAAAAATAAAAGAAAACACAGGATTGCATATAATGATATATTGGCAACGGACGCATATATCAAGTTACTCCCTTCCTTACGTAAATTCTCCTTAAAGCAACCATTCTCTCTCTCTCTGCCATAGCCAAACCTCCATAACTCTTTTTCCCTCTGTGAAGATACCCATTTCATCTTCATCAAACAAAACCATTCTCTTGTTTCCTCTGTCTCTCAAACAGCCCAGAAGAATGTCTATAACGCAGAAAGTTCTCTTCTTTCTCCTCACAATCACTCTCCATACAAACCCATCTTTCTCTGCAACAGAAACCTTCGTCTTTGGTGGCTGTTCAAAGCTGAAATACGCGCCCGGTTCACCATACGAGAACAACGTCAACTCAATACTCACTTCCCTCGTCAACTCAGCCATGTTAACATCCTTTAACAACTTTACCATTCAGGGTTCCACCCAGCAAGACACCATTTACGGCCTCTTCCAGTGTCGTGGCGACCTCAACAACGGCGACTGCGCCCGCTGCGTGGCTCGGGCGGTGAGTCAGGTCGGCACTCTCTGTGTCGACTCATGCGGCGGCGCGTTGCAGCTCGAAGGATGTTTCATTAAGTACGACAACGCGACTTTCCTGGGCGTGGAGGACAAGACGGTGGTTGTCAGCAAATGCGGACCGTTGATTGGATACGACTCCGACGCGTTGACTAGACGCGATGCCGTGCTGGGGTTCCTGGGTGCGAGCAGCAGCGACGGGAGTTACAGGCCGTACAGGGTGGGAGGGTCGGGGAACATACAGGCTGTGGCGCAGTGCGTAGGAGACTTGAGTCCGAGCGAGTGCCAGGATTGCTTGTCGGACGCCATCGGACGGCTTAAAACCAACTGTGGGGCCGCCGCGTGGGGCGACTTGTTCTTGGCCAAGTGCTACGCGCGTTACTCGGAAGGTGGGAGTCACTCCCACGGCGATAAGGGTAAGCGGCTTCGCCACCCCCAACTGTGGTTTGTGGCTTTTTTGGTATTGTCTGGTTTTTTCTGGTTTTAATTACTATTATTTAATGGGTCTAATTTAAATTTTTTTTACTAATTACCCATCGTAATTACTCCGTTTAATTACCATTACGTCCGTGTGAAAATGTATATAAGCTTGTCTGTCTCTTAATTATGGCTTTGCATGATGGTAATTTGCATAATCTGAGATTAAATTATTTAATCATCTTTTCTAATTATAACCATAATTTTCTGTTTCTACAAAAGTAGTTGCAAAATAAACTATCCCATTGACTTCCTACCCTTCGCACATAAGATTGTGGAGAACATTGAAATTAAGTAACAATATTTATTTTTATTTCAATATATATTGTCCATTATTTACCTAATCATAATTATGAACTAATCTAATGTCATGTCCATCTAATTTTTAATAATGGTGGTGTTTATTTTTGGTGAATTAAAATAGTCGACAGCTCTTTGTGGTTCACGGTTTTTACATTAAGAATTTACTCTTAGGGGTTGAATTTGAAAAAATAAATATTATTAAATGGGTTAGAGTGAAAATAGTGGGGAGGAAAAAACTGACCAAAAAAGTTTTGAGTTCATTTCCTGGTGACTTTTGGCGGAGGAAATATATACACATACACATACACATACATATATACATATATATATATATATATTTGACTAGTAGGGTAGTACAATTATTTTATTTGAATTTTCCACTTTTATAAACAAGAAAATATTACATGTAAAAGCACTTAGCTAGTTGCATTGAATTAGGGACCCACCCATTTAGATTAAATGTCTTAGGGATCCAATGTGATGCTACCCAAATCCCAATTTCATGTTTATTAATTTTCTTTTATCTCATAACTGTTACTTAGAGAACACGCCTCAGTGCATTTGAAGCTTTAATCTCTTAAGAATAGATTTAAAAAAAAAAATAAAATGTGTTATGTTCTTAATAATAAACCTATTGATTGAAGAGTGATAACGAAAACAAGTACAGCATCACAATTAAATGGCAAATGACATAATTAAGTTTTGATTAGTTTAGCTATCAAACCCTAATTGATCTAACCATCATATATATATATATATATATATTTCATGTAATTACCCAACAAGTATTGCTCGTTCCCAACTTAGCTAATGTTCTCTAATTCACTAACCGCAATGATTTAATCTTTTGCTTCTTTTCCTTTTAATTTAGCTTTTGATCATATAATAATATTAAGCTTTCAAGTACTACATAAATTGGTGTTTCTTTTTTTTTTTAATTTGCAGACAACAATAGCAATGATAATGAAATTGAGAAGACACTAGCAATCCTAATTGGACTCATTGCAGCAGTTGCCTTACTCATTGTATTCCTCTCTTTCTTGAGAAAAGTGTGTGAAAAAGGAAAAGGTATAGATACATACAAATGTATATACATATACATATATGCCCCTTTTTGCTCTGTTTTTTTTTTTTTCAAATTTTCTTTTCCTTTTTTCTTTGTGAACCTCGTGAAAATTCTCATATCTCTAAACCCTTTTTCTCTTTTGCAGATGGTAAATGATAAAATAATTTTGGGCATAAATTCAAGAAGCTTTTCTCCTCTGGTAAATGTTCTTTTTTCTGGGTTCTCCTCTGTTTTCTGGACTCTGCTTTTCCCTCACCATCTCTCTCTGTTCTTTCTTTTTTTTTCAATTTTTTCTTGAAGTTCCTTTCCATATTTTATTATAAAGAAGAAGCCCTCAAAAGGTAAATACAAAGATGTTGATGCCAAACAGGGAACCTTGAAACAAGTGAAAAAGAAAGTTGCAATAAGATTGAAAAAGGCTTAAAGATTCTTCTCTACCTTATCTACACCTCCCACTTGAGCTATATTGTTTTACCTTCTCTGTATAATATTACTAAAAGCACTTGTGAGAAAAAAAAAAAAGTTCTTTTTATTTTTTGGGTGCTGCAACTGTAGTTAATTTAGTGCTTTTGTTGGGTTATAGTTGTAAGAGTTTTATAGCTTTTTTTAATTTAGAGTTGGCAAAAACACCCAAAAGTAGTAATTGTTCATCTTAGTATCATTCAATCTCTTCTGTGTTAATCTTTCTCTTCTAATAATTATTTTGATAAAATTCATATTTAATTCTAATATAGAATGATTGTTGATTATGAGTTCTACATAAAGATTCAAGTCGATGTTCAATTGTACAATGTTTAAATTTTTGAGTAATAATAATTTGAATTCGATAGTTTTATTGAATAAGCGATAATTTAACTCATAACTTATGCATACATTAGCTTAATAAATTTACTCTTTATGATTTTTGTTTAACTTGAAATTATGATTTTCTGTTCTTGTTTCAAATTGGAATTCTGGTTTTTTTGATGGGTTTTGATTTGAAAGCCTTATTTTCACTGTATGTCTTTTCAAAAAGAAAAAAAAAAGTTGAATATCCCAACTCATGTTTGACTAGCTGTCTAATGTCCAAGAAGGAGGAACTGATTCAAGCAAATGAAATAATATTTCAATTATTTTAATATCATTACAATAATTAAAACAAATATTCTCTTGTTTAAATAAGACATTAATCATAATCATGCTTCTGTTCTAGATTAAAGGTGGATTTGAGTGGATTAAAAGCTTAATTAGGCTTAAAAAGTTGGTGCCTGATTGAATTTTTTAGAATCTTCTCTCTCCTCCATTATCTATAACTTTTTGTTTTACATTTTAAATTTAATCACTTCAATTTTCAAGTATGTGAATTGGAAGAATGATTTGATTTAATCACTTCCCATTTTGTATAATTGAATTAGTTAATTAAGCCTAAAATTTAAATGATGAATTAGACGTGATGTAATGATTACTCCCGCATCAGAAGCATTGTTTATTGGGGATTATATATATATATATATATATGTATGTATTTAAAAAAGACAATGCATGTATTAATTCTGGTGTGAGATTATTGATACCTTTTAAAAAAGGGGAAAAAGATGTATCAAAAGTGACAAGATGCATGACAAAATACGAGGCCAAGAACCAAAAAGTTATTTGAATAATATAATGATAATTGTTTAAAATTGGTCTATATATACATATATATACACACACACACACATATTATATCATTGATCACGAAATCTTGTCTGCTTAGATGTCAATTTGGTAGAAATTGTTGTTGTTTAATCATTTCCTCTTTGGTTCAAGCTTCATATGTTTATACATACGTGTGTATATATATATATATACATATAACCTTTTGTTATACACTTAGAAAAAAAAAAGAATTGGCGTTTTTTATGGTGGGTTTATATATATATATATATAAAACTAAACAAATTGAACATTGGCACCTTCCCCTAAAATGAAGTCATTCATTGGATATAATATAAAAACTAAGGATGGACCAAAGAGTTTGAGGAATTTAATTTGTATTTGTTAGAAATTATAAAATAATAAATTAAATAAAAATTTATTTTTAAAATTAAATATTGAGTTTTAATCAACTGTGTATATACATATGTAGATTTATTATGTATTAATGACTACCAATTTAATTAATTTTAGTTAAGTAGTATATTTATATTAAATAAATATTAAAATTTAATACATCAAATAAAATATGAATTTTTAATTAAAATCGTTATTTTTAATTTTATAATAAATTAAATTAAAAATATAAAAAGACAATTATAATTTTTAAATCATAAAGATTTTTTTTCGTTATAAATTTATATACGTTTTTATTTTTTAAATTTAATCACAATTATTTGATTCCAACATATTTTAAATTTATATTTAATTTATTTTAAAATTCTTAGATTGAATTGCGTAAATTGAATGAGTAAGAAGGTAGTGGAACCTTTTTCTTTTTGTTGGTTTATGTTTTAATTTTTATGGGTTGAGTGATTCGTCTTTCAAGATTTTTATGGGCTTTGCTTATAAAACGAAGAATAAAAGTGTGACTAAACAACAACTCTATCCACCAAAAAAGAACATTATTTTATCCTTTTAAAAAAAAAAAAAAAAAATTAATAAGTGTCGAGAGAAAATGACACGAGTGTCACGGGTTAGGTTGTGTCGTTTAGTTGTCAAAATGAGATATAAAATTATTTGTTTTAAAAAAATATTTTAAAATAATAATAATAATAAATTAAATAATATTTATATTTATATTTATTTATGTTATCTTAATTTGGTTCTCCTAAAATGTGTTTTAGGGCTTGTCAAATTCAATAGCCTTAGTAACTGAACCCATGGGCTATAGAAATTGGACAAACTCGTTTCTTATTGGTACCATTAGTGGATCCAAAATCATTCCTTTCATGTAACCCTTTACATATTTAATTATAACCTGATGCATTATAGCTTGAAAATATATACACACACACACACATATATATATATATATATGAATCAGTCAGTATGTTTTGAGTGAATACTACGACTCAATTTATGATTCCCTATTTGCGGGGTTAAAATCTTGGTAAAAATTGTAGTCATTGATTAAAAGAAAAAAAATAATCTTATCTTTTAACCAATAACTTTTGGTTCTAGTTGTATGATTATCTCTTTGTGGGATTAAAATTTTAGTGTTCTATTCCATTTACCAAAGAAAATAATAATAATACAAATAACAAAATCTCCCCACAAAGAGAAAGATAAAAAAGTCTCATAAATATTTTGCCTTTCTACTTTCATCAAAGTGAAAGAGAAAGAGAAAGGTCCTAGAAACTCTTTACCTTTTGATTCTCCAACTCTTTGAAACTCTTAAAAAATCTCTACCTCAATTCTTCCCTTCTGCTCACCGGAAAGAAGCCTCCTTTTCCACCTCCTCAGAAAGAACAAACCCTCAATCTTTATCTTTTGAATCATCTTATCCCTCAATCTCCTACCATTTAGAAAGAATTCTGAAGTACCTCCTCATCATCAACGCTAAGAAAGAAGAAGAAGAAGAAGAAGAGAAAAAGTAGTGCAAATAAGAAACATTAGTATCTTTTTCTTTTCTAATCTTAATATATAAGTTGGTTGGGTTTTGTTTTGGTGTTTTTTTTTTTTTTTTTTTTTTTTTTTTCTTTCGTTCTAAAAAAAATTAGTGTTTAAGTGGTGATTTGATTGAAAGAAATGAAGCAATTTGAAAATAATTGAAAAATATTTGGCTATTTATTTATCTTTAGGATCGAGAATTGGATTGATATAATTCTCTGATCCGGACTGAAATTTTAACTGCTCTTAACTTGAACCTTCTTTTAAAGTAATAAGGAGTCTTCTGTTCAAAATCTTGTTTGTGAGAAAACCTGATTATATATGTGGAGTATTTTTATTTACGTCGCAGTAGCCGTCTCTAATAAAAGGAATAATTCCAACCGGTAATTACACCGTATATTACGACAACAGTCTTGCAAAAACAAAATCCCTACTTTCACCAAGTCAACCATTTTTTTATCATCCTCCATTCCCATATTTGTTTCTTTATAATTTATTATATCAACTCCTTCCGCCCAGAACAACTAATATCCTTACTATCTTTCTTCTCTCAATCCTTTTGTTCCTTTCTTGATTTCACGTCTTTCTCCGTTTCAACCTCAGAAGAATACCCTGTTGAAAACTATAATAGATCTCTCGAAATAGCGAGGAAAGTAATTGCTCCATCCCCTGAAAGCTCCTTTTTATTGGATCGCTCAGAACAATCAAGCATCGGGTTCTTCATTAGGACCTTCATTTTTCCGGCTTTTCTTGTTCACTTCTTGGATTCTTGCTGCTAACTGTTGGTATTTCCTCTTGGGTTGGAGAAATGGATGACATGAAAGATAAGGTCAAGGGTTTCATGAAGAAAGTCAACAATCCATTTACTTCATCGTCTTCGGGTAAATTCAAGGGCCAAAGTAGAGTCTTGGGCTCTGCTTCATCTGGACCCGTTAACCCGATTCCTGCCCGCTACAGCCACCCACAAACTCACGCTCCACAGCGGAACCCTTCGTCTTCTTCTTCTTCGTCGGTCGCACCTACAAATTCTAAACCTTTGCCGCAAAAACCTCTCAATTCTGACCAGAACAAACACAGTTCCACAAATAGTCCGGACCCAGATCGAAAACCGGCAAACGGGTTTGATCCATATGATTCATTGATAACTTCAGGAAAGAGATCCCAAAATGGGTATTCTTTGAATGTCTTCGAATGCCCAGTTTGCGGGATTTCTTACAGGTCTGAGGAAGAGGTATCTGCACATGTAGAGAGCTGTCTCAATAGTAACTCAGCGGACAAAAATGGCGATGCTGATGTTTCGAGATTGGCTGATGATGGGTCGGAGACGAAGACTGAAGTGGAGGCTTGTGTTCGTGCATTTCTTTCGGGTAACCCACCAGAAGGGTCAGTCGATGTGATTCTCAGATTGTTGAGGAACATAGTCAAGGAACCAGAGAATCCAAAGTTTAGAAAGATTAGAATGAGTAATCCTAAGATAAGGGAGGCTATTGGTGAGGTTGGAGGAGCTGTTGAGCTGTTGGAGTTTCTAGGATTTGAATTGAAAGAGGAAGGTGGGGAGATATGTTCAATGATGGGGGCTCCTAGTGAGAAAGGCATTAGCTTAATTAGCAAAGCAATAGCATTGTTAGAACCGAGAAAGACAGAGGAAGAGCCTAAAAAGACTGAGAATTTTAAATCTGCAACTCCAGCAAACTCAGAAGAAGTGGTTCAGCTGAAGAAGGCAAACCGACAGGTATTCTTTATTCTGCAAAACTCAGTTTATAGGATACTTATTGATCATAGTCTAAGGCCTTTAATTTTGTATCATGGTTGAACTTTAGAAAACAAATTTTGTGACTTGAGTTTATCAAGTTAATTACAAGTAAAATCCCTCTCTATATATCTCTGGAATATGTAACTTTTAGAGTAATCTCTAGGCATTTTTCTCTGTTATCTTGGATTATATGTATTGGGTTAGAGTTTGAATATGTACTTTCCAATTTATTCTTATAGTGAATTTGGATTATCTCTCTGCTGGTTGGCCTGGCCAAACTGAACTTTGTATATTTCTGTTTTTTGTTTTTCTCGGTCTTATTGCTTGATTGATCATTTTACACTTGTACATCAATAATTGAAAGTTGGTTAGGATAAATAAACAAGAGAAACGAAGTAGTGGAATGTTGCTGAGTATGACAAAATAAGGAGTTAAGCTTAAGTACAATTTGTTTTTTCAAAAAAAAATCTACAGTCCACCTGTAGCTATTGCTGAAGAAGTACGTTGCAACCATAATTAACACTATTCTTCACTGTTTCTTATCCAAATGACATGTTAGCTAACATTGTGATCAGGATTATAAGATCCAAAATTGATATGTAAAGGCTTCACGATTTGTTGTTTCAACTTTTTGTTTCTTTCAAGTGTAAAGTTACTTTGCTAGGACTTCTTTATGTCTTATATTGAAAGTAGTGGTACCTAGACTATTAGGAATCTGATAAAGTCAGACAGCAAATTAACTGTTGGAAGTTGAACCCAATTAACTATAAAACCGTGTCATGCAGACTAGTTCAGTGTGGTCAATTATGATATTATGATTCATCCTTTCTTGTTTCTATTCTCCTGTTTGTCATCATTTTCATAATAGAATGGATGTATTTCAAATTGTTTGTTCAAGAATTCTTTGGCAGTCCTCTTCTCTTTTCTTGCCTTACAATTTTCCATGTGAACCGTCTGTACCACTTCGATCGTAATTTTTTATATTATATTATGACCATTGATTTTGTGTTTTAGATCCGCATATTCTTTTCTGTGCCTGAAAGTGTAGCAGCAAAAATTGAGTTGCCAGATTCTTTTTACAACCTCTCAGCTGAAGAGCTGAAGAGAGAGGCCGATACGAGGAAGAAAAAGATTGCTGAGTCTCAGCTTTTGATCCCTAAATCATACAAGGAAAAGCAGGCTAAAGCTGCTAGGAAAAGGTACACGAAGACTGTCATACGTGTCCAGTTTCCTGACGGAGTGGTGCTCCAAGGAATTTTCTTCCCTTGGGAGCCAACCAGTGCTCTGTATGAGGTTAGTCCTCTTAGTTATTGCTTACTTTTTGTTTATTGCTTCCTTTTCTTTTGTTCTTTAGATAATTTTCAGTTGAAAATATAATTTCCAAAAAGCAAACTTGCCAAAAATATGGTAACTCATGTGGCAACAGGTGTTTTACACGTTATACGTAGCAATAAGTTCAAAATGTGATAAATGATTTAGTTGTTAAGTAATTAGAATGCATTTTAACATTTCTGATCAGTAATTTTGAGCCGGTGTTATCACCGTGATATAAGCACCGAGGATTTATTATTCTATCCAAGATGGAATGTTTGAGAAGAATGCAATTTTCTTGTCAAAGTGTTCTATCTGGCTGTGAAAGTGACAGACTATAAAGTTTTCTTTAGGTTATTGTTTCCTATATTTGGCTCATAGAGACTGTAAATTTGATATGCAAGAGGTTTATTATGTTCAGTTTGTGAGCTCAGCACTGAAAGAACCGGGTTTGGAGTTCGAGCTGCTAGATCCCGTATTGGTAAGACGGAAAGTGATCCCTTCCTTTCCTGCACCAGGAGAGAAAGCCAGAACACTAGATGATGAGGATTTGGTTCCCTCTGCGCTTATCAAATTTAGACCTATTGAATCAGATTCGATTCTTTTCACAGGGCTCTCCAATGAACTTCTGGAAATTATTGAACCTCTTGATTCAGCTGCTGTTAGAGTGTAAACCTCAATAGGGCATTAGAATGCCAGCTTATGTGCTTGTCTTTCCTGTTTTAATCTTTTTAAAAATATATTTTTTTTTTCTGCTGTAAATTCACTTTTTTTGTTCTTTTTTTCTTCTCATTGTGAGTTCTTTGAGCAGGCTTCCAAGTCTTAATTTATGATAAATGGATTTTGTAGTTTACATATATATATATATATATGGGTGTACATCTTTATGTACATATCAAAATTTATGGATTTGGATATATATACTCTTTGTGCAAAAGATATAGAAATATAATTTTTTATTTGAGGATAAAATTAAATGTTTCTATGTCTACCCCTCTCAAGCCAAGGATGAAGGGTTTTTTGGGCTACAAAAGGCGAGCCTGTTAACATGCCATGAACTCTTCCAATTATATGAATTTTATTAAATGTATAAAATAATATAAGAACTTATTTTATATATTTTAAAAACTAAGAAACAAAAATTTCAATTTCAAAGAAGTAGGTCTGGGCTGGACGAAGGTAAAGGCTCGATCTCTTTTACTTCTCTGCTACAACCCCAAGTTCAGAGTTCATTCTCTAACCCAGCTACTAATAATTGGCTCGGGTTATCTCCAAGAACTCCAGCCCAGCTCACAAGCTCAGACACTTAACTCTTTCAGTCATGTAAAACTGAAATCCCCCTGGTTTCGTGAGATAGCGTGGTGCTGGTAACGAAAAAAGAATAATTCTCTCACTCCTGGAGCAGATTGGCAGTGGGGGATCAAATAAATGGAAGAGAAGAGCTCGCAGGGGTGCAAAGACGGTCTCTGGCTCAACCAATAAGGAACGTGCAATATCGCCACATCTGGAGAATTATAATAAAACTGGTAAAATGCCCTACCTATGAAATTGAAGAATCTGTGATGTTTCTTCACGATTAAGCGAATTTAGACAGGAACTTTTAAAGCGATTAGAGAAACAAACAGTGAGGTACCTGCAGATCTATCTGCGGTAGTTGCAACGCAACCCCGCTGGAAGCCATGAATCTAATTAGCTATTATTGTCGTGGGTTAAGGAGGCCCGCAGCAATTAATAAACTTCAGAGGATCTCCATTCCTTTTTATTCTTAATGGAAACAAAAGAAATTGGCGAAGGAAATGGTGTCCGTTGACGATAATCTGGGATTTCATAAACTGTTTGTGGTTGACTGCTCTTGTTACGAAGAGAATAGGTCTGGAGGTCTCTGTGTATTGTGGAAAGACGATTTAGTTGTAGACATACTCTCTCATTCAACTCACCATGTTGATCTACTCATTGAAGAAGACCATAAAACTTGTTATCAGTTTACCGGGCTACCTTAATAATTAAGAAAATCCTCTTGTCAAGTTGTTATTGCTGATTCGTGGTCTAGGGGTCACCATGCTCTCTCTGGTTGAAAAAGTTAATGCTTGTGGGGAATCTTTGAAAGACTGGGATAAAGAGGTTACAGGGAATGTCAGCTCTAAAATCAACACTGTTAAATCAAAAATAGAAATCCTGCAACAGACTCGCAGCTTTATTTGTCACTCGCTTGAAACTCTTACACAATGAAGTCTTGCTAACTTGGTTAAACAGTATTTTGTTGAGGAACCCTTCCATTCTTGTTGCAGATAATTCTTGAATGAATTTTCAGCAATTTCTTCTGAAAAAAAATAAAAATTAAGAAAAGTCAAATCTTATGAGTTCAAGGTCTCGGGTTCGAATATCTACAAGAGGAAAACGCAAAGTCAAACACGTTTTTGATTATTTGAAAGGTCACGCTTTTAATTGTGGGAGAGAAAGTCGGTGACTTTTAAATAACACCAAAAAAAAAGAAAAAGAAATGAAGTTATTCACCGTTAATTTTGTGCGATTCACCGATTCTTTATTAAGTCTGGTTGTTTTGTTGGTTGGTTAATCTTTAAAAAAAGGCGGGTCCCACCATTTATTTAAATTATCATTTGTATTCAGATAAGGGATGTGCGTGACGTCACATCAACACCGACTACTTTCCACTCCATTGCCCTTTGCATGCTCAATATCGTAATCATGTACGTAACAATAGCAAGTGCTAATTTATTTTAAAATAAATAAAAGAAATGTAGGAATAACCCGTTTATTTTATTTCTTTTCAATTTTTTGGTCATAAATAAAAAAAAAAAATTTATCGTTTAAAGTTATTTTTATTTTATTCAAGGGATATAAAAAATCTCTTTCTATTTCTGTAATATAATTTATTAAAAAAATTATGTTTTTCTAGGACTATCTTTTTATATATAATTCTATAATTTATTCAAAAATTCAATTACTTTTTATGTAACGACCTGAAATTTTTAAAAAAATAAATTATAAATTAAATGCGGAAGTGAAATAATAAAGTCAATGTTTACATTTCTTACACAATAATTTAAAATACATAATAAAGTTATGAAAATATTCATTCTAAAAGAATAAATAAAAATCAAAGAAATCAACAAAAAGTAAACAACTGAGAATCTTAACACGACCTTCACTAATTTTTGAAGGAGTCCAGGTAGTAAACTATTAACAACTCTCTTGTTGATCGAGATTTGAATCTTGATCCTCTTGATCTGAAATAGTTCATGAAGAGGTGAGCTACACTAACCCAGTAAAAATATCACACTACTCCCCAATATAAAAACTAAAGGTTGATAAAAATCATAAAAACAACCAATAAAGCTATTAATTTAAATAAATTCATTTATCATAAGTAAAACCATTTATTGCACACTTACCATTGCGAAATTTTCAAAATCGACCTATAGAGACAATAACTCAACAATATCATAATTTCATATTCAAGTAAGTAAGAATAACAACTTTCATTTTTTATTTGCCTACTAGTATCTATGGGGCTCCATAAGGATGTCCCACAACGCGTAAACTAACATCCAACTTTATCAACTAACCGGCTGTCCTCATACTCCGTCCGATATGAGCTTCAAAAATACAATCCCTCGATACCATGTCCGGTATGAGGATGAAACAAGTCGTCCCCATACCCCGTTCGGTATGAGCACCAAAAATATCAATCTTCGATACTCTGTCCGGTATGAGGTGACGTTCACGGTAGGATTTCTTATGTACTCTGTCCGTCCACCATCTCTCAGGATATCCAGTAAGATTACCATTCATTCATTCACTTAACCAATTAATTTTTCGTTTATATTTGATTTTCGGTTTTACAATTTAACCATAAATCAGCGTAAGACAAACAATACATACATCAAGGAAATACAACTCAATTATTTTACGAATTTCAGTAAATTATCATGCATTTAAAGCTGTAAAATCAAACATGACAAACAATAATAAATAACTGGTTCTGGCTCCATTAGTAATTTATAATTAAGTCTTAAAGTTTTATAAATTACGCAAAATATCATATTATTGATAATTAAACTTCAATTCCATCACATGGAATAGGTGATGGATTATTACCTGAAGAAGGTATCTGAAATACTGAATTTTCTACTGCGCTTACTGACGGTTCCCGATTTTTCTAAATTTTCTTATGAAGATTAAAATATACTTCATGTACCTAAAAATACCTCAAAAAATCTAATATCGGTGTTAAAAATATTTTTTAGCCAATTTTAGAATTCCAGCATAGCGATATCGCCGTGCTCCAACGACAAAACCACCGCCTGCGGCGGCAGTTTGCCTCGTACTGGCTATTTTCGGTCGGTTTTATACTCATCACTGCGAGAAAACATGTTAGGGGACATCGGTTAGTCGAAAAAAGTCGAAAAATAAAAACTTACTGGCTGCAAAAATTTTCGATGCGGCGGCTCCGCTGACTCACCTTCGCGGCTGAATGTTTTTTCTCGATCAACTTGTAGAAAACAGAATGGTGAATACAATAGTAGAAAAATTGCACAAAATAGGAAACAGGAAGGGGCTCATGGGAGGCGATTTTAGATTTTGCTCGCGGCAGCGTCGCCGAGCTTTACCCGCAATTTTCGGCTCATCCACCATTCCTTTTACTCTGATTTGGCCATGGGGGTGTTCAAAATCAAATTCCGAGCTGATAGAAATTTTTTTATCTTTTTTGGCGATCAGAGGTGGCTCCGGCGCGGCGGTGGGAAGCTCCCTTCTCCAGCGACTGGTTCTTCTTCTCCAGCAGGGGGCTGGCAGCTAAGGTTCGGATTCGGTATGATATGAGATATTTATACCCATCTTCCTTAAATCTGGATCGTTTATTGCGTTTGATCTCGACCGTCCGATTGCGTTTAAAGATGAAATGAAGCTGGACTGTTCATCGCGATTTAATCTGAACCGTTCATCACATTTAATCACGACTACCCGATCGTGCCTGAGGAGGGAACGGGTCCGAACCGTCCACGCACGAGGGAATGCATTTGGACCGTCCGATTGCGGTCACGCGAATTGCCAGCGTGGCCTCCCGTGTGGCACCGAGTTAGCATGGTGATATGTTCTCATTTAAAAGGGCTAGAAGATCAAAAAGCTCTTGAACAATCATAGAATTTAAAATTATTTAAGATTGTAAAAGCCTGAAACCTTAAGGAAAAGAATATACATTAAAATAGTGGAAGCAAATGATGATTAAGATTTATATTTCTTACATAATAAATTAGAATGCTCAATAGGGATGCGGGAATGTCTATTTCTTCTAGGGTTCATAAAAATGAAATAAATAATTTAAAATAAAGAAATAAAAATTCTATGGGGTTAACCTCTATTAGCAACTTTGATGGGATCTAGGAGATAACCTTACTTGCACCCTCCTGCTGTTTAGGATTTGGATATTGGTTTTCTTGATCTAAAATTGTTAAAAATGGGGAGTGAGTTACACTAATCCAGTAAGAATATTATACTGACCACTGATACGAAAATCGAAAGTTGATAAAAATTATAAAATAACTAATTGATCCATTAGTTTAGATAAATTTATTTAACATAAATTTATTTAGTCCTAAGAAAAATCATCATACCATTATTACCAATCAAATAATAATATAAAAGGATATTAAATTTAAATGGTTATCTTTTAGATATTTGTTTAGAGGTATATATTTACATTCTTAAAATTGACCTTAGAAAAGTAAGAAAAAAGAAAGCACTTTATTTTAAATTCTTTAAGTTCTTATTTATTATATCTAATCAATTTATTAAATTATCTCATTTAAATAATTTAAAATTATTTAAGATTGTAAAAGCCTGAAACCTTAAGGAAAAGAATATACATTAAAATAGTGGAAGCAAATGATGATTAAGATTTATATTTCTTACATAATAAATTAGAATGCTCAATAGGGATGCGGGAATGTCTATTTCTTCTAGGGTTCATAAAAATGAAATAAATAATTTAAAATAAAGAAATAAAAATTCTATGGGGTTAACCTCTATTAGCAACTTTGATGGGATCTAGGAGATAACCTTACTTGCACCCTCCTGCTGTTTAGGATTTGGATATTGGTTTTCTTGATCTAAAATTGTTAAAAATGGGGAGTGAGTTACACTAATCCAGTAAGAATATTATACTGACCACTGATACGAAAATCGAAAGTTGATAAAAATTATAAAATAACTAATTGATCCATTAGTTTAGATAAATTTATTTAACATAAATTTATTTAGTCCTAAGAAAAATCATCATACCATTATTACCAATCAAATAATAATATAAAAGGATATTAAATTTAAATGGTTATCTTTTAGATATTTGTTTAGAGGTATATATTTACATTCTTAAAATTGACCTTAGAAAAGTAAGAAAAAAGAAAGCACTTTATTTTAAATTCTTTAAGTTCTTATTTATTATATCTAATCAATTTATTAAATTATCTCATTTAAATAATTTAAAATTATTTAAGATTGTAAAAGCCTGAAACCTTAAGGAAAAGAATATACATTAAAATAGTGGAAGCAAATGATGATTAAGATTTATATTTCTTACATAATAAATTAGAATGCTCAATAGGGATGCGGGAATGTCTATTTCTTCTAGGGTTCATAAAAATGAAATAAATAATTTAAAATAAAGAAATAAAAATTCTATGGGGTTAACCTCTATTAGCAACTTTGATGGGATCTAGGAGATAACCTTACTTGCACCCTCCTGCTGTTTAGGATTTGGATATTGGTTTTCTTGATCTAAAATTGTTAAAAATGGGGAGTGAGTTACACTAATCCAGTAAGAATATTATACTGACCACTGATACAAAAATCGAAAGTTGATAAAAATTATAAAATAACTAATTGATCCATTAGTTTAGATAAATTTATTTAACATAAATTTATTTAGTCCTAAGAAAAATCATCATACCATTATTACCAATCAAATAATAATATAAAAGGATATTAAATTTAAATGGTTATCTTTCAGATATTTGTTTAGAGGTATATATTTACATTCTTAAAATTGACCTTAGAAAAGTAAGAAAAAAGAAAGCACTTTATTTTAAATTCTTTAAGTTCTTATTTATTATATCTAATCAATTTATTAAATTATCTCATTTAAATAATTTAAAATTATTTAAGATTGTAAAAGCCTGAAACCTTAAGGAAAAGAATATACATTAA